GAATAATACTTCATCTTCATGAATTACTTTAGGGTGCACAGTAGAGCAAATTATTTGGGTAATGGAGCTGAAAATGCACTGGGATTAGAATGTTATGTAGTCAAATGATTCCTTGTTTAATTCAGTTGGTTGGTTTGCTTCAAAATACCATATTACATGTGGTGTTCTTGTTTACGCTGCTAAATATGTATGAGCACCATTGACTATGTATGACTTCATGTTTAATCAATAGACTTATAAAGAGCAGCAGCAATGTTTCCAACACAAATGATTGTCTTTGATAAGTGTGGCACCTTCTGCTTTATATCTATGGGATGTGTTTGTATTAAATTTCAAAGGGTAGCTGTGTCAAGTCTGCCGGTGCAAAAAGCAAAACAGAAAGGAGGCTCATGAGACCTTAGAAACTGCCAATTTATTGTGGCATCAGCTTTTTTTAGTGGAACCGGGACCACTCAGTTTTATGCCACAATAGGTCTGTTAGTCTTAGAGAGCCTTAACACTCCTGTTGTGTTTGATACTCATGATCTTTTCTTGGTGTTGAGGTTTGTGAACATGGCAGCGTTGGGGGAGGGGCGGACACGGGAGATTCCATTTCTCTGGTTATAAAACCAGACAAACCATGTTCCAAGTGTCTGCCAAAGAGGCAGTCTGGTGTAGTGATCAGGAGCGCGGACTCTAATCTGGGAGAACCAGGCTTGATTCCCCACTCCTCTACATGCAGCTGCTGGTGTGACCTTGGGTCAGTTACAAGTTGTTTCAGAGCTGTTCTCTCAAGGGCAGTTCCCTCAGAGCTCTCAGCCCCACCTACCTCACAGGGTGTCTGTTGTGGGGAGGGGAAGGGAAAGGAGATTGTAAGCTGCTCTGAGACTCCTTTGGGTGGTGGTATAAATCCTTCGGCGGGGTATAAATCCAATCTCTTCTTCTTCTGTAAGATTCGGCACATCTCATCTATTTTCACCAGCGTTGGTTCTTATGTGACCATATTTCATTTTAAACTTCCATCCAGTTAGGTTTTCAAGATCAATAATTATGGACGGGGGGGGAGCTGTTAGTTTAAAGCTGTGGCAATGAACTGTAAGACTCCTTTCAGATTCCCTTCCATGATAAGTTCCCATCACCTGAGCTTTGATGTCTTCACTGCCAGCTGTCATCGTCTGAGCTAGCCTGCTTGCCAAGACTCGGTGACTCGTTGGTGGGCGTTGCCCCAATACTGGAATCATTTCCTACGGAGAAGAGACTGATGTGCTGGCACGCCGATTGTGCTTGCGATCGTATCTTTTCGTTTCTCATTCCATCGTCGCAAATTCCACATCAATCAGTCCAGTGCTTCTGCTTAACCAGATGATTAGCTGGAGTAGTAAATAAAGTTAGGTGCATGCTTGAAGTGTGTGATTAAGTGCCTTCCAGGACTGGAGCCAAGTCTTGCAGCATTTTAGGAGACACTCCAGTTCTGTTCCTTGCTGACGGATGGTGCAGGCCTATAGAGCGCCCGCTCATGGGCATCTGAGCTTTCTCCCAGAGGCTCTAATACACAGGCTTTTTAAAAAAAAAGCGTGTGTATTTTTGGCAACGCCTTTGGGTTTTCAAGGCACAGCTGTTCAGAGGTGGTTTGCCAAGGCCTTGCTCTGGACTTCCCTACACTTCCTTGGTAGTCTCCCATCCAAATACTAACCAGATTAGCTTCTGAGATGTCAGTCAAAAACAAGCAGCTCCAGCCCTGAAGGTTTAAGGACTTTGTGTGCAATTCCTCGGAAGCCTCTCTCCTGCACATGTTCCTGGGAAATGAACAGGACATACACAAGAATGTACATGTCAAAGAAACCTGTGAGTTGTGTCTATTAGGACCCTAATTTTCCAGTCCGTCCTGTTCTTTTAAAATCTTGAACGAAAGTTTATAAGTTTATAAATCCAATCTCCTCTTCTTCTTCTAAAATTATTTTCCTTCCTGGAGTTACCATATTTTAGATAAGCAGGGAAGTGCTGCTGTACTTTATATGCACAAACCAAGTAACTGTAAGGTACAGTTGACTGTAAGCATTTCAGTTGTTCAGTGTGTTCATTTCTGGAAAAACCTGGGTAGGTCGGTGGCTTGGGCTAACATCAACCCCATCTCAATGATAGTGAAACAAAGCCGGGAATGTGTGCACTTTCTTTAATGCGATGCTCTGTTTTCAGTAGTTCCTCAATGTGCCTTGTTTGCATATGGATAAGATTCGAGCAAGTGTTTATTTGTATGAGAAAAATGAGATATGTGAGAAAATATTTATTTATTTATTTTTATTAAATTCAACTTGTTAGGCCACCCTTCTCAGCAAGCTGGGCCCAGGGCGGCTTACATTAAAAAACCAAACATAATAATACTCCATTAAATAACATCAAAACCTACTAAAAACAATATATTTCGAAGGGTACAATGTCACTTTCTGAGATGGCGAAAAAATTCTGTCCCCCCCCCCCCGGGTGAAGGGGTGTGGGGGGCTGGGTGGGAGGGTATGAGAGTGTCAACAGCTACTGTCCTCAACCAAATGCCTGGCAGAACATCTCAGCCTTGCAGGCCCTACGAAAAGGTAGTAAGTCCCGTAGGGCCTGGATATTTTCTGGCAGAGAGTTCGTCAAGGACAAGCCAGATCTCTCTCGGGCCAAGGGCCACGAGCAGTTTCTTACTGCTAGAGTATAATGCTCTTCCAGGGGCATTATACCCTATTATAAAAATACCCCATTATAAAAAATTAAAAACAGGATAACCTGCAAATTTTGCATTAATCAGACAAGAAAAATGTGTGCCCTTTAAAGGGCAAAGAGAAAGGTGCATGATCTTTTGACTAGGGTTCTGTTTTAATTAGACAACTTGTGAACCAGACATTTGGAATAGTAATTGATCTAATGCCTTCCCCACCGTTTACTTGTAAGACGACGGGATAAGGGCACTCGAATGAGGATCTGTGTTTCTGATTTCACTCTGTCGCACTGAATCCAAAAAGCAGAAAGAAAGCATTGGTCATTAAAGACAATGCTATCGGACATTTGGCTACACTGAGCAATCTAGCTTGTGTTTCTGTTGCAGTTTTAAAAGTTTTTCCGCTGTATCCACTAAATGTGCCGCTCCAGTTTATCAGGATGGCTTGGGGCTTTCAAAACAGGAATAAAATTGTTACTCTCTTCCTGTGTGATTAAGCAGGTGAATCAGTGAAATGGATATTGGCTTGCTTCATGGAATGAAGCAATGGAGCTGGGTGTGACTGGGGCCCGGGACAACGATCGTGGGGCACGACAGCTGCAGAGACACAGCCTGTGGGAGGCTAGGATGGGGTTCCATCCCTGGCTCCCCCAAATAAAACACACTCACGTTCTGCTGCCGTATACTAACTTCACGAGACTGTTACAATCCGTGCTGAATAGGTCCCATCCCAAAGAGTTCCTTCACTCTGTGGGCCCAGGGTAGGGGTCATGTCATAGAAAAAGAGGTGCAGGGGCTCATTAGCATAACTCATTAGCATAACTCATTTGCATGTGCCACACCCCCTGACATCACCGGAAGTGTGTCAGAAAACAACACCCACCGCTCAGGCTCCACTGGACTGTTTTGGATTGCTAGCTATTGGGGGGGGGGGGGGGTGGGGGAACAGCAGCTCCTGCAGAGGAGGGAGAGCTTGTACCTGAAGGCAGGCCGGGGGAGGGGGCCTCTGCAACTTACCTGGCTGCTTCTTCTTGCTCCTCGTGGCCCGACTGAGGGCTGCTGGGAGCAGGAGGCGGGGCTTGTTGCACGTGCCTGCACCCTGGGCTCCTTACTGCCGGAGCTCTGCTCCTGTGCACTCCCTCAGGAAATGACACCTGGTTGCCTTCACTCCCTAGGTGTCTCCTCTAGTCGGGGCTTCCAACCTCCTCAGTTTAGTGCTGCCCAGCTCCTCATCGCAGCCTCCTTAAGAACCCTCTCTAAGGATTGGATCCGTCCCCCTGGTTTTGTGCCCTGCCCTCCTGGGCCGCAGCTCCCATCCCACTTAACGATATCTCTTCCCCGTGTATTGCAGCTGTCTGGACCAGCCATCCTCACCCACCTGTAGGTACTCCTGACTATACTTGCCCCACTGGGCATTCCCCACAGTGCCCTTGGCTTTCTCCCTGCCCTCTTGCGGGTGCAACTAGCTTTTGAGAGCCAGTTTGGTGTAGTGGTTAGGTGCGTGGACTCTAATCTGGGAGAAGCGGGATTGATTCCCCACGCCTCCACTCGCAGCTGCTGGATGACCTTGGGCAAGCCATAGTTCTGTCAGAGCTGTCCTTGACATGGCAGTTCTGGAAAGAGCTCTCTCAGCCTTGCCTACCTCACAGGGTGTCTGTTGTGGGGAGGGGGAGAGAAAGGAGTTTGTAAGCCACTCTGAGACTTCAAGTGAAGGGCGGGGTATAAATCCAATCTCCTCCTCCTCTTCCTCCTCCTCCTCTGGTTTCCACAAGCCCTCCAGGGTTCCTGGTACATTTCCAGTGCTACACACCACTTGTGTGTCATTTGCTCCAGTATAGACTTGTTGCAGTGTACTTTGGTTTGATCTGGAAGAAAACAAGTTCTTGAAAGTTACTTTCCAGTCTAGCTCTTCTCCCAAGGAAGAACACGCATGTTCAAAATGCATCGGGAATCAGCTAGCTATAAATTATTTCCGGCACCGGTGCGGTTTCTGCCTTGTGCATCTCCTTACTATGTGGCATGGACATCCTCCTTCATTACACATTCTTATTTCTTTGGGGCAAGGTAGGAACTCGTGTGTCCAGCTGCCTCTTGGCTTTGAAATACTCAATCTCACAACGTGGTGGGTTTTTAAGCACCTTCTCGGATGGCCCATTTTAATAACCTGAAAAGCTATTATATAACAAGCAGCCATAAATTAGTACAAGGCCCCTAAGGGGACCCTCACTGTGCGGCGATGAATAGTTAATGTAGTAGAATGTTGAGCAGGTTATTAGTTTTCACTGTACAAATGCTGATCAGGGAATGCTTTCTTTTTTATATAATGTGTTTAAGAGAAAATATAATTAACTGGTTTTGTGGTTCTGTTGCAGCTCAAATTGAAATTATTCCATGCAAGATCTGTGGAGACAAATCATCAGGAATCCATTATGGTGTCATTACCTGTGAGGGCTGCAAGGTAAGCTTATATATACATACACACACACACACACATACACAATCTGACAACAAAATTACTGTGGGGAGTCCTTCCCAGAGATGCTTGCCTCTTGGAAAGATTACATTTTCCTTCTGCACCTGACCAGCACTGATCAATACAATAAAAACCCCTTTTTAAAAATTCCTTGTGCTTTTTCTGCTTCTGCTTCTTCTGAAGTACCAGCTGCCTAAATTCACATTGGTTCTTAAGACTTAAAGTCCCCAAATACCTGTTTGGGTATTTTCACGGATACTTCTAAACCTTCTCTCTGAAACTAAGCTTAATTTGGAGACGATGATAGAAAAGACTAATCTTTTTCAAGAGGCTACACAAACTTGCTTTCTTCCTACCGTGTTGAGGTTTCCCCCCCTCCCCTTTGGACTCAGCCGGGGGTGAGACTTCTGCAACACCTGGTCATATGAGAAAGTTCCATTCCCTCCCTATGATGCAAGCAGCACTCTTTTCAAAATGATGACATGGAGGACAGGGATTTAAATACAGGTTAGGGATAGGTTTTATAGAGAGAGCAGGTATAGCATTGCGGCTAGGAGATCAAATGGCTCCAGAAGGCCCCCGGCTTAAAATTTGCCTTTCTGAAAACGCATTTAGATGGTCTTGGGCATCTCCTCCTTTCTGAGCCTCATTTAGGGCTGCCAGCTCTGAGTTGGGAAATACCTCGAGATTTTGGGGGTGGAGTCTCAGAATGGGCAGCATTCGGGGCAGCCATTTTCTCCAGGTGAACTGACCTCTGTTGCCTGGAGATCAGTTGTAATAGCGGGAGGTCTCCAGTCGCCACCTGGAGGCTGGCAACCCTGGTGCATATCTGCAGTGTTGGGGGTGGTAATGATACTATATTAGTCTGCCTTTCAGAGCTGTAGTAAGAAGAAGAAGAGTTTGGATTTATTGCTCGCCCTTCCCTACCCAAAGGAGTCTCAGAGCAGCTTACAAATTCCTTTCCCTTCCCCTCTCCACAACAGACACCCTGTGAGGCAGGTGGGGCTGAGAGAGCTCTTGACAGAAATGGCTCTTTTTCAAGAACAGCTCTTATCAGAACTCCGGCTTGCCCAAGGTCATCCAGCAGGTGCAAGTGGAGGAGTGGGGAAATCAAACCCGGCTCTCCCAGATTAGAGTCCGCACACTTAACCACTACACCAAACTGGATTACAATTATTTATTTATTACTTTGATTTTTACCCCGCCCTCCCCACTGAGGCAGGCTCAGGGTGGCTTACAGAAAAAAACAATAGTTAAAATAACAATATAAAAATTTATACAAATCACAGGCATACCGGAAATACAAACTTAATATATATCTTCAAAAGAGCTAATATGAAAAACTGCTTTGAACTTTTTTTATTCCGAGTTATAGAAAGGGCACGTACCCAAAGGGGTTTCTTGGTGGGGGGTGGGGGGCTCAGAGTCCTTCCAGCCAATCCTCAAACAATGCACAGGTTGGCCTTTGAATCCAAGGCTTCCCTTGCACGCCCCCTCCCCGGATGCTACAGTAAGGATTTCTACCCTTGCTCACTATTATTCAGGCATGTTTATCAGAGCTTTTAGGCTGCCCTCCCCCAAAGACAGGGCTCAGGGTGGCATACCACGCAATGAAATTCCAATACAAACACAAACCACAGCTAAAAAAATTCCAGAACAAGATAGATAAGTGAAGATACAAATAAGCATCCTTAGCTTTGGTTTTGACTTGACCTGCACAGGCTATCCGCTGAATTCATCACTTGGATTTTTATTTGGATTATTACATGTATTTCCTTACCACTGTTTACACATCAGTAAAACATACATGTACCCTCTCCATACAGTTCCTCAGGACGATCGCCTGAAAAATTTTAATTACAACTTTGGGCCTGCCAAGCTTGCCTAATGCAGTATTGGCAATAGTATCAATTCATTGCTATTTTATGGAGCAACAGACCTTTAGAAATTGAAAAATTTCTGCCAAAAAATAAAGCTTTGGGAAATTTTCTGCCCTGCATTTCTGAGAAAAGGCCTTGACCGATTTCCCACAAGCCACTGCTCCGCCCTCGCTCTTCCCTTTCCCCCAATTGTATGTGCCAGTTTCTCACTATTTGCTGCGCGGCCACATTTTGCCTCGCAGCTTCGCCCAATTCCCCCTGCCTCTACTCAATCCTCAAAAAAACAGGATCAAGTAGACGCGGGGAAAATCGGGCAAAGCTGCAGGGCAAAATGCGGCTGCGCAGCAAATAGTGGGGAATTGACACATACGATCGGGGGAAAGGGAAGAGCGAGGGTGGAGCAGCAGCTTGTGGGAAATCAGTCCTTGTGTCTGGTAGTTTAAGGCTTGGAGCCACTCCAAGCCTAGGTTTTGAGCACTCCTTGCTAATCTGGACACAGAGCCTTTTCCAAACCATGCAAGCAAGAAGTCTTAGAGAGACCCTTTTGGTTTGTTTTTAAAAGGTTTTTGATCAGACAGAGCTTTTTGTTAAAATGAATGTCTGTGAGAGAAGCGGCAGGTGGAAACAGCATCAAAGAATCCACAACCCTGTCTCGTCTCTGCCTAACTTTGGTGGTAGTAGGGCCCTAGCGGTTTTCAGATTCCAAGGTCTCCTGGTCTAACCTATTTCAAACATAGCTATATAATGCCAAACTATATAGCTCAACTAGATGGCCCCTCACCCAAAAAGGAAGAGAGAGACTTCCTGGCCTGCCTCCTGTTCGAAATCTAATCTTTCCACAATTGGGCCAAAGAGTTCCCCCATCTCTTAGATGGTAAATCAATAATTATTACTGGAGGAAGTACTTGCAAAAAAGCCAATCAGGCTTAGACCTGTAAGAAGATGACAACGTACTCTCTGCCCGGTCTTCCCAGCCCTACTTGACAGAAGACATTTAATATTTAAATTGAGGAGGACAGCACAAAATGGCTACCAAGTGTATCCCGACTATGTAATGTTTCAGCTGGGGACCTCCAGTCCGACAGAGGGCATCTTTTCCCCTGTGCAACCAACAGGATAAACCAAAAGAAATTAAACCTCTGTGCAGCCCAGCAACATTGGGCTAATTTGCAAGCTCTGCTGCTGATTCTTAAAACAGAAATGGAGAGTTTTAAGAATGGAAACTTGAAGACACTTGACTGATACCGGCCAGTGTTATCACATTGTCAAGGCTGAGTGCCTCATGGCTCTCATCTTTGCCGTTCCTGCTCTCCTATCCAGGTTAGGACATAACAGAGGTCATAGAAGGAGACCTTTGTTTCTTCTTTGACAAACTCAACTGGCAAAGCGCTCCGTGTGTGATGGGACTTGGAATTACTCTCATAATTTCTGTAAAAGATGGTTGATCCATATGGTATTGGGGAGGTTGGTCCTTTGTTGCTAAGGCAGCATAACAGGGAGCCAGGTTCTCTAAGACTGAAATTATGGAAGCCATCCTCTCATCAATATGTATCGTTGACATGTACTTACTTTTCATGCTATACTTGAAAAGATACCTGCTCCATTTTGAGACAGAAAGGGAGAAAATGCGGATGTTTGCTTCTTGACAGCACTAGTGCTGTAGCAGTGCGGATGTTGTCGTTCTGTTCCCCCGACAAAAATTGTGATGCATGTATATTTGCAATGATGTCGCTCTTGGCTACATTTCAAACGAGTTATTCTGATGCGCCCTCTAACCTTGATTGTAGCAAATGCCGCACGTCCTTATGTCAGCCTCTGTTTTCTTGCTTTCAGTCTTACATCACTCTTATTTTAGAGGCTAAAGATAATTTTTGAGAGGAGCTCATAGCAGTACGGTGAGCTAGCTTCTGACAGGAGTGTAAAGGCCTCTTCCTATGACGGGCCCTCATCAGATCAGTTTGGGCCAAGTAGTAGGGTCGCCAGGGCCCCCTGACCTCCGGATAGGGATGGGGGGTTAAGGATTGCCAGATTTAGTTTGGGAAACTCCTGGAGATTTGAGGGTGGAGCCCAGTGGAGTACAATGCCACAGAGTCCACCCTACAAAGCATCCATTTTCTCCAGGGGAACTGATCTCTGTAGACTGGAGATGAGATGTAATTCTGGGGGTTCCTCAGGCCCACCTGGAGGCTGGCATCTGTACTAAATAGTGACTTCCTCAGCCGTTTCTGTCTATCCTTCCTTTTCATTCCTTGCTTTCCCTGTGTTAGCCCACGAGTTATACTCTGAACAGATTTCCTTCAGGATGATCATGGCCGGGGATTATGGTTGTGTCATTTCTCCCCACTTTGCCAGTTCATCCTCCGGCAGCCCTCTGCTTGTTAAAGGTTGAGGGCCGCTCCTTGTTCCTTACCCCACACAACGCGTCTGCCAGGGGTTTAAATAGGGTTATGTTCAGATGGAAACGTAGCATTAGGCCACCTCTCAGTTATTATTCGTCTGTATTTTGCGTACCAGAGGGCATGCTCCGTTTTCTTCCTGTTTCAAAAAAAATTATACGAAAGCAAGATTCTTTTCTGATGAGTTTCCCTTGAGGGAATATTTTGTCTCTTCCGAAATGGTACCATGTGTCAGGTGACCTGAGCGCTGAATCCATGGCAAACTGGGTATCAGTTTGATGTTCCATGGGTAAAGTGGGTCAGAAACCCAGCATTTCATGGACAAATCCTAGTCCGTCTGTTGCACTAAACTATGAAATGAACTACTATCTACACAGTTAAACCCCTCACTCTCCAGGGCAGGGGTTGATACCTAATGCCTGCTCACTGTTGGGCTTCTCGTAAAGAATGCCAGACTAGGTGATTCTTGATCCTATCTAGCAAGGTAATTTTTCTGAAGTAAGAGTGCATAATCAGGGTCATTTTTCAGAGATTAGCTAGGCCAGTTTAACTGCTGAGATTTTGAGCATGGGGACATTAAACACAGCTGTAGGGAATCTTTCTAAAATCATCTAGTTCACCTACCCCTCCCCATAAAGCATTGTGAGACTGAGTCATCTTGTTTTTCTTGACCAACGGATAGTTCACAAATACATTTTCATCTCTGGCTTACCCAGTGCTTGATGACTGCTGCAGTATGAACTGTCCCTGCTGAAAAACAGTGACCTTGAGCTGATATTAGGTAAAGGTAAAGGTTTCCCTTGCTCGAAAGCCAGTCAAATCTGACTCTAGGGTTGCGGTGCTCATCTCCGTTTCAAAGCCGAAGAGCCAGCGCTGTCCGAAGACGTGTCCGTGGTCATGTGGCCGGCATGACTAAACGCCAAGGTGCACGGAACGCTGTTACCTTCCCACCGAAATGGTACCTACTTGCAATTTCTTGCTTTCAAACTGCTAGGTTGGCAGGAGCTGGAACCAGAGACGGGAGACACTGGGTAGTGCAAACCAGAGACATTCGGTAGTGCAAAAAACCCTCTCTGTAGCCAACCTATGATAGTTTGTTCACAGTTGCGGTTTCTACAGTTAACATACAATAAATATGCATTTGCAACTGCTCAACTGAAATTACAATGATCAAAAGTAATTGGTGTCCCATGTACAGTGAGTCGAGATTTCTGTGTAAAACTTTTCAAAATATTTTTGCAATGTAGTACCAAATTCTATGAACAAAAATCCAGATTAGGCATTATGCTTTTTTTTTTTACTTTAGAAATTCAGATTTTGGTTTAGAAAAGGCAGAAGAATGAAGTGGGGGGGGGGCAGCAACTATCCTTTCCCTAATTGGCAATTACTAGAATATTGTGAAATGTAATGATACGTGGAAATGTGTAACTGTTGGCCATAAATCATGGGATTATGAATAAGTCTCTGTTGTCATGGGCTGTTGTGTATCCCTTCCAGAGTGTCTGCCATTAGGATGCAACAAGGCAGCTGTCAGCTGTTTTCTTGTAATTAAACAGCCAATGAGCAGCTAATTAAGACATATGTGTATATAGAAGTGGAAGTGGGCATGTTAATGAACTGTAGGAATCAATTCATTAAACGAAAATTGTCAAAAGACCAAATACGGGCGCAGTGGTTCAGGTCTTTGCCAGTCTCAAAAAGCGACGGGGCGGGAGAAGTGACAACTCTGCTATCCGAAAGGCACAGAAGGATGGTTTCCCCCACTCCTTATGACACTCATACATTACCAAACAGAAAACAAATGCCTCTTTAATTGATAACTGTTGCAATGGTTATTTCAGGGTATAATAAATGAAACCTATCTCTGCAACAATTCCTATTTCACAACCATTATTTTACAACATTATTTTGTTGACTGTTGACTAAATAGACACACACACACACACACACAACACTTTCAGCTGTCACAGCTCTCAATGCCATTTCCAATACAAACAAATTAACGCCATTTAATACGTAAAGCAATTTGGAGGGATTGGGGAAAACGGGTCAGCTGTACATTCACAGTTGATAGACTATGCAAGCATTTTATATTTTGGTATCTGCATCTAAAATAAAGTGAAGTGTGAACTACCCCTAAGTACACTTGGTTGTCAGTTTTCTTTCAAAAAGTTCTCTCTCTTGCCCTGACCTGGATAGTCCAGGCGAGCCCGACCTCGTCAGGTCCCGGAAGCTAAGCAGGGCCGACCCTGGAAAGTATTTGGATAGTAGACCTCCAGAGAATACCAGGGCCGGGAGGCCAGAGGCAGGCTTTCAAGCCGCTTCTCTGAATATCCTCCGTACCCAAGTAGGAGTTGCCAGAGGCCGCCATGACTTCCAGGCACGGGCACACACACAAAAGAAGAGATACGGGGGGGGGGGGGGGGGAGTTATCTTTGTCATGGTATCTTGCTTGTGACTCTTCTTAAGATACTGTTAAGAATGCCTTACGTTAAAATGCATCAGATCCGTAGTCCATATTTCACAGTCCTGTCTTTTTTCTGCGCTCAAGCTAAGAACCTTTCCTAGCTATTCTACCTGAATTATTCTTGATCGGGAGTGACAGAGACTGAATCTTGTTCCTTAGTATGCAAAGCATGTCTGTACCATCACAACTGTTTTCTTTATGACTAAGATATGATGGTGCTCTCTAATTCAGTTCATGAGAAAGCAAATCTAGATGACCTTTAGGTTCTAGGCACTATACTTTCAGTGACTGTACAGAGATGGCCAGATCCACCACCTATGTTTGTTAATCACAAGTAACAGAGTAAAACGTTATGTTTCCCATCATGAAAATAAGTCTCCACCTTGCTTACCTGAGCATATCAATTAAAAATGTTAATAAATCCGCCATGCAGCAGATGAGAATAGACAATAAGAACATAAGATAAGCCAATGTTGGATCAGGCCAATGGCCCATCTAGTCCAACACTCTGTCACACAGTGGCCAAAAATACCAAGCCATCAGGAGGTCCAGCAGTGGGGCCAGGACTCTAGAAGCCCTCCCACTGTTGCCCCCTTCCAAGCACCAAGAATACAGTGCATCACCTGCCCCAGCCTGTGAGTTCCTATCTATACCTTGTGGCTAATAGCCATTGATGGACCTCTGCTCCATATGTTTATCTGGTTCCCTCTTGAAGCTGTCCATGCTTGTAGCCACCACCACCTCCCATGGCAGTGAATTCCATGTGTTAATCACTCTTTGGGTGAAGAAGTACTTCCTTTTATCTGTTCTAACCCGACCGCTCAGCAATTTCATGGGGTGCCCATGAGTTATTGTATTGTGAGAAACGGAGAAAAGTATTTCTTTCTCAACCTGCTCTGTCTCATGCATAATCTTGTAAACCTTGACCGTGTCATCCCTCAGCCGTCGTTTCTCCAAGCTAAAGAGCCCCAAGCGCTTTAACATTTCTTCATAGGGAAAGTGTTCCAACCCTTTTATCATTCTAGTTGCCCTTTTCTATACTTTTTCCAATGCTATAATATCCTTTTTGAGGTACTCCAAATGAGGACGTACCATCAATTTATACAGGGGCATTATGATAGTGGCTGATTTGTTTTCAAGTCCCTTCCTCATAACCCCCACCATAGCGTTGGCCTTTTTAATTGCAGTCACACACTGTCTTACAATGGTCTACAACTGGCTAGTTTTATCAGTTTCAGACTTGCTAGATGCAGTTATTTTTGTTGGAAATAGATATTAGGAGTGGATGATTACTGTGGACTCCCAGCCTCTTGAGGTGGTTGCCTAGTTAAGCAACATGACTGCGGACAGCAAGGATGTGGTCTTCCGAAGTTGTATTGTCTGGTATCAGTGAGAAGCTGAGGGTCAGATTGATCTTCTTAGACAGATCCTTGAAGGAGAAGTCCATCGGTGGTTATTAGCCAGGATGTCTAAAAGGAATTGTTCAGGCCAGAGACAGGGAACCTCTGAACACCAGTGCTAGGAAGCAACGTCAGGGAGAAGTCTTGGCCCTGTATTCCCTGTTTGTTGGTCCTTCAGGGCAACTGGTTGGCCACTGCATGAAACAATACAGTGGAGTACACGGATCACTGCTCTGATCCATCCGGGCACATCTTATTATATTTATTTGGTTGTGGTTTACATCTAAAAATGATTGAGGTTATACAAAGGTGGAAACAGTTATTCTGGTATTCAAGCAGCCTAAAAGAGAGATTGTTCGCACCACTATCAGCATTCACCTCATCTTATTCTCCGATAAACAAGGTTGACAGTGCTACACTTGAGCATACAGCGTGGGAAACTACTTTGAACTCTTAAAAAAAAAAAAAAACACCCGCTGTGTCTAGCCAAATGCAGACGTTTTGCAAAGCACAGATGCAGAGCTGATTTTTCTCCAGCCCTTATATACATATATTTGAAAAGTTCAAAAAGCACACACTTCTACTAGCTAATTGTTTATGCACAAATATTAATAAAGTACTCTTTATGGGAGTTCCCCCCCCCCCAAGGACAAAGATTATTTTAAAGTTATCAATGGGCTCCACTTATTTTCTTCAGTTAAGCATGCAGTCCATTCTGAATAATGTGTTAACACTGAGGAGTCTGCTGCTGCTAAATTCTTTCTCTTACATTTTATGATTTATGCTACAGGGTTTTTTCAGGAGGAGTCAGCAAAGCAACGCCACGTACTCCTGTCCTCGTCAGAAGAACTGTTTAATCGATCGAACTAGTCGAAATCGTTGCCAACATTGTCGATTACAGAAATGCCTGGCTGTAGGGATGTCTCGAGATGGTGAGCTTTACTAGTTCAGGTCAGCTGTCTTGTATGTGCAACACTCTTTAGCTTTTTGGCTTGCTCAGCCCATTCATAAAAACATTATTCTTGAACTATCCTGTGACTCATAAACCAATACGTTTAGTTTGGATTGGCTCAGCTAGTGATTTCTTTGCACTCTTATATATACACGTTAAAAAGGTAAAGGTAAAGGTTCCCTTGCTCGAAAGCCGGTCGAGTCCAACTCTAGGGTTGCAGTGCTCATCTCCGTTTCAAAGCCGAAGAGCAAGCGCTGTCCGAAGACGTTTCCGTGGTCATGTGGCCAGCATGACTAAAGACCAACGCGGACGGAACGCTGTTACCTTCCCACCAAAGTGGTACCTATTTATCTACTTGCAATTTCTTGCTTTCGAACTGCTAGGTTGTCAGGAGCTGGAACTAGAGATGGGAGCTCACTCCATCATGCGGCACCCAGGTCTCGAACTGCTGAACTACTGACATTCCACAGCCTGCAGTTCAGCGTCTTAACCACTTGAGCCACTGCACGTTACTCAAATTTTATTCTTTTGTGCAATGTGGCAGTTAACACGTACTTTTCTTTCTATTCTCGGTAGGTTTGTTATATTTTTCTCACATATGTTTCTGATTCCAGAACCTCAACTTTTCACACAGGTGTCCTGTATCGTCGTTCAACCCCTATGTCCCCATTATCCCCCCCCCCAATTATTGGTAAAGGAACTGTGAGGTCCTGCTGCCGCTGAACAGATATCACAATAACGACAGCTAAACCTTTCTTTCTAGAAGGCATTATCCAAGCTAGGGTTCCTTTTTCAAGATAAATGCAAGATTTATCCAAATTTGACACTCCATATCGCGATGCAAATTAAATATATCTGTGTCTGTTTCATGTGATTAACGCTTGTTTATTAATTTTTTTCTTATGGAAATTGCCCATTAATGACTGGTTCTATGGAGTCCATTCTTCTCAGAGCTAAGACCTTTCTCACACACATCACACTTTTTTTTTAAAAAGAGCCAGTTTGGTGCAGTGGTTAAGTGCGCGGACTCTAATCTGGGAGAACCGGGTTTGATTCCCCACTCCTCCACTTGCACCTGCTGGATGACCTTGGGCAAGCCGTAGTTCTGATAAGAGCTGTTCTTGAAAAAAGGGCAGTTTCTGTCAAGAGCTCTCTCAGCCCCACCTACCTCACAGGGTGACTGTTGTGGGGAGGGGAAGGGGAAGGAGTTTGTGAGCCGCTCTGAGACTCCTTTGGGTAGTGAAGGGCAGGGTATAAATCCAATCTCTTCTTCTTCTTCTTCTTCTTAACGCTAAACCCCATAGAATTATGGCAGTCTTCTAATATGCAAGTTGATATAGTCGATAGGATAGGCTGCCTGATGGATACCCTGGAGTTAATTATGATGCGTCCTTCTAATATAGCATTTCACTGTTGCTGCCCAAGAGCATAGCGTCTATCGACTTTAAGCTGGTGGATCTCAGCGCGGACTGATGGTGATAAACTGAACTGCTTGTGAATATATTTCAGCTGTAAAGTTTGGCCGAATGTCAAAAAAACAGAGGGACAGCTTATACGCGGAAGTGCAGAAACACCGGATGCAACAGCAACAGCGAGATCACCAACAGCAACCCGGAGAGGCCGAACCATTGACACCAACATACAATATCACTACTAACGGGCTAACAGAACTGCACGATGACCTCAGTAATTACATTGATGGGCATACCCCTGAAGGTAGCAAAGCAGACTCTGCAGTTAGCAGCTTCTACTTAGACATACAGCCTTCTCCAGACCAGTCGGGGCTTGATATTAATGGCATCAAACCAGAACCGATATGTGACTACACACCAGCGTCGGGGTTCTTTCCTTATTGCTCTTTTACAAACGGAGAGACTTCTCCTACTGTGTCCATGGCAGAATTAGGTAATAATAAGAGAAGAAATTTCCCGTGTAATTGCTATGCTACCCTTTGGAATAAGAGCAACGCTTTTTAGTCTTCTTCGCTTACTAAAACCGCTTGCAACGTTTGGAGTTCTTGGTAAATACATGCAGCTTACATGGCTGCTCTTTCTAGAAACACAGTTACCTCAGCTTTAGATAGGGCTGACGGCGCTAATCAAGTCAATAATCTCAGGCCTGGGTTTGAATCACAATAAATCAGACTTGCTGTTTAGTCATTCATTGGAGTGATTTAACAAGTCTCCCCAGAATAGTTTGCTAGGTCCACGACTCCACTGCCCCATGAGTGTGTGCAGGTTAGTCAAGCTGGTAATTTTTCTTCTCTTTGCACTAAATGCCTACCCTAAGTGATAGCATGTTTTATGAGTTCTGACTAATGGGATTTTTTCATAGGCGAGCAGATGCAGGCCAGCATTCCTTAAGTAACTGGTTGAATGGAGATTTAGCAGCAGTATCTAGCTGTACACGGTTATTTCATTGGAAAGTAATCGCTTCTGTATGGAGGGCCAACCAGCTAAGGAATTACTGATCTTATGCAATAAGAAAACAGAGACCGGCATCAGTCCAAGATATTGGGGTGGCTAAGGCAGAAAATTCAAATAGTGGTCCATCTGCAAATGGTAGCCCACCTTCCATGAAAATGGGCATACTGTGCTCTAGCGCAGCTCCTATGTATTTCCTTTGGGCTTGAGCAGAAAAGCTTCTTGGTGGGTTGAGCCCAAATAAATCATACCCATCTTTCTCCAAGTGGTACAGAGAATGGGCACCCCCCCCTTATTTTATGATAGGTCTGTATTAATAATGTATGTATCATTTTTATGCAGCACTATAACTTTCTTAAGTGGATATTGCTAAAGCCCCCATATCTTTCAGATGGGGAAGTTAAAGCTGAGAGACACTGGCTTATCAAATGCAAGGTCCAGTAATCACTCGCCTGTAGTGACTATCAAGAATTATGGAAATAGCTATTCTGTCAGAGCTGTGCTTTTAATGCTGTACTGTCTGAAACATCAGTAGCTTAACGCTGGACAGAATATGCACAAGGAGAACGTTCTTAATGCGTGCCACTTCTTGCTCCTTCTGTCTGTTTTAGAACATCTCGCACAGAACATTTCCAAATCACACATGGAAACCTGCCAGTACTTGAGGGAGGAGCTACAGCAAATAACATGGCAAACCTTTCTGCAAGAAGAAATTGAGAACTACCAGAGCAAGGTACTGTCTTGGCTATCATGCCAAAAACGACATAGTGTTTTTGTGGTTGTCCTTCCTCAAGAATAGCAGGGCTTGGGGGACACATCAGGGCTAGCGTATCCTGTTAGTTGGCCCTCCAGGGCTACTGGTTGGCCACTATATTGAATGGACCACTGGTTTGATACAAGGCATCTCATAGGTTCACTTATCAGTCTATAGTTTTTTGCTGCAATCTGAAAATCATCTTCCCTCCTCAGCTGAGTGCCCAAATATTAAGCAACAGGTATTGCATGTTTCCAGTGTGGCCATGATGGTGCAGATGGGTTAGAGTTATTCGGCGTGGAGCTCTCACATGCAAGTCTCTAGAAGTGTATAATAAATAATGTAAGATTCTGAGGAAGGGAAAGCTTTTAAACCCCTGCAGTCCACTCCTCCTTATTATTTGGAAGCAGAGCTGTTTGGAATGTTTAGTCTAGCTAGTGGCTTTCACTCTTTTATCCCATCTCTTACCTCCATGGAGTGTGACATTTATACTTTTTATACATACATACTTACTGTGAAGGTTTGAGTACACCACAGTCGACTATTTGCTAAACATAAATGCAATGATCCCTTTTTATACTAGTTTCATAAGAGCTTACCCACCCATGGTCAAGCACTTGATTCTTGTGCTTTGGAAGATTCTTCACACAACAGGTGTGAACCATCCTTAGGATTTTGAAATAACTATCTGTACGGTCATGAGGAAAACATATTATAAGGCCTGGAAGTCTCATGTCTAGAACCTTTTAAGAGTATTTTATTCATAAACTACTTTGTAAGACTCTTTCCTGGTTTTGTTTGTGTAGACAGCCCCTTCTGTTTTGCCACAAAACCTTTTTTTTTACACTGAAACTTGAGTCTGTATTCTGGATTTAGCACTTAAACATGTTTAACTCAATATAATTAACATTCAGGGTTTCTTGAAAAAGGACCCGTTTTTGACATTTCCTTCCCACACCTAGGGAGGGATTGGGAGCATGCCTTGGGTTCATGAATTTCTTCCCGTAATCTAGGGAAACATTAACAAACCAGAAGAAAACAGCAGGGAATTTCCAGGAAGTGAGGATATTCTTATTTAAATAACCAGATCAGTACCAGATTAATTTTCACTTCTCAACATGGTGGGGAGGGTACAGGGAAAAGAGCTTGCTCTTTAAGAATTGTGGGAGTGGAATACTGTCCAAAAGAGCACAGAGCACAACGCCCCCTCCCATTAGATACTATTGATGAATTGATGAAAGCCACTTTGGTGTAGTGGTTAAGAGTGGTGGACTCTGATCTGGGAGAACTGGGTTTGATTCCCCACTCCTCCACATGCAGCTGCTGGTGTGACCTTGGGTTAGTCACAAGTTCTCTCAGAGCTGTTCTTTCATGAGCAGTTCTTTCAGAGCTCTCTCAGCCCCACCTACCTAACAGGGTGTCTGTTGTGGTGAAAGGAAGGCAAGGAGGTTGTAAGGTGCTCTGAGACAAGTGAAGGGCAGGGTGTAAAGTCAATCTCCTCCTCCTCCTCCTCTTCTTCTTCCAATAAATATCAAAATCTGTTTAAGTATTTCTCCTATAACTTGCTATGCTTAAAGAAAAGACTGAACAGCTTGAGTGTCTGGCTTTTGCTAATATATTCTACTTTGTAGTAGATGTAGAAATCTCACCGAAAACATGTAGGAGTTACACCCAGTGAATCAAGTCAAGGATTTACTATTAAAATGCCACTTCCTGGATCTTACATGACTTATTCATACTAGAACTAATCATTATTATTTTATTTCACTGTAGCACACTTTATTTTAAAACCCTGATGTTAAATATGAAACCCTACGATGGTTAACCCTTTGTATTTTTGGAATAAATGTGAATACACCATGGGGGGGGGGGATTTAGTCACAAACTGAAATACAGTACAGTAACAAGCCCCAGGGTTCTCTCAGCCCCACCCCCCACATACACTGGTTAAACACTGAAGCCCTCTATTATTCACCCCAGTTGCTCATCATTTGTACAAATGAGTGCAAAACGCAAGAATAAAGCAGTTTTGTTCTGTGTTAACTTGTTCCATTAAGGAATTCCTTTAGTCAGCTTGGAATAGCCACCTATCCTTTTTCTCTTCAACAGCAGAGGGAGGTAATGTGGCAATTATGTGCGGTGAAAATAACAGAAGCAATACAGTACGTGGTAGAGTTTGCCAAACGCATTGATGGCTTTATGGAATTGTGTCAAAACGATCAAATTGTGCTTTTAAAAGCAGGTACGTAGGTGTATCAGGAGACCTCCTTGCTAATCGGTTTTGGTCATACAAACGGTTGTTATGTACTATGAACGCAAAGACCACCGCTCATTTTTAACGGCAGGCGTTCCTTGAATTTTATTCTGTAAACACCTAGACACCTATTCTTTGGCTACAAGTATTCAACTCCATTATTTTGATGAATGGGAACCTGCACTGCTATATTCGTGAATACTAATCTGTTGCTAAAAACAGAATGCTTGAACACTCTTAAATAAATATCACAACGAAAGCAGAAGTTCTGTTCGTTATATGTTATTTTCATAAAACTATGGCTAGCCAAAGTGTTCTGAATGTACTGTCCTTTATATACAGTCAACATGTGGCATGATGGGAGATAAAATCACCTCTTCAGTCACTGGTTAAGAGATTTGGCAGCGCAGATGAACCCACAGCATAGTTTATATAAGCCATATAAATACACCAATCCTTCCAGAACTGTTTTCATAAAACTGATATCCTTGGTGAAAACCGAAGTCCATGACTCTCTAGGACGGCGCAACATTAAAAAATAGATGGACTGTAAAGAATATTCTCTCCAAGTTCAAGCATGAGCATCTCTTGACACCTGTAAGAGCTGAGTTCTAGTCCTATTGACAGTTGAGATTGGCAATGCTTTAAGTGTCTAGATCATTTAAATTTTATCTCTGGGCCTGATATCTGCTAAGAAGTTTTTACTAATCAAACCAGGTCAGCTGACAATCAGCGTTAAGTCAAAATACTAATTTGGCCCAGCCGCTATAAGGAGCTCTTCAGGACAGAGAGAGAGGGGTATAGTTAGTAGTCCTAAAATATTCTTGTTAGTGAAGGCTTATGGCTATTCCTTGAAACCTCTGCCTGATACTGTGTGAGAGATGTATCATGATTACTATACGCCAGCATTTCACCAAACTATTTCACTACTGCTAAGTGTGCATGTTCAAAAATCATGAAATTAGTTTAAAAATAAAGCAGTTTCTGTTGGATGCAGGCACCTGGTGAAGTTACATTTCCTTCCCAAGATTTTTCTTTAAAGACTCTGAGGCAGAAATATTTTAAAGACATAGCAAGTTTTGCATCTGTCTTAGAAAGAGGTGGAGAGGAAATGGCTTATAGATGACTAGCAAAGTATTGTGCTTCTAATTCCCAATTGTAAAATAAGTCTTTTCTTGCTTGTGCTCAGGGTCTTTAGAAGTTGTATTTATCAGAATGTGCCGTGCCTTTGACTCCCAGAATAACACAGTGTACTTTGATGGCAAATATGCTAGCCCCGATGTTTTCAAGTCATTAGGTAAGGAAATCAAATGCTTAAAACTAAGTTTTCTGGATATCTGTTTAAAACAAATACCTTACAATAAATGGACTGTGTGCTAAGCACTGAAAGGATTTTTGATAAAAGACAGCTGGCCAGCACTTCCAGTTGAACCCTCCGCTGTGTACTAAAACAATGCATTCATTAAAAGGTCAAAATGAAGGCTAGCTGTCATGGCTCAGGTGGGGTGTCACCTGACGCTGCCACCACTCTGGTTTTAGGATCCCTTGAGAAGGCCCAGAGCACCCTCCCAAGACCTTCAGACCTCCCTTATTTGGCCAAATAATAGGCGTGAGGACCAGGCAGAGTAAACAACAAATAAGAGGTTTATTTTTATAGGAGGTCAGTCAAATATGTGAAACAAGCAAGGCGCAAGAACAATAGCAATAAGGGGGTGAAGAGAAAAGAAACCAAATGCCCTAACGCAACTAGACTTACAGTCCCTAGCTCACTGTCTCAGTTGGGCTTGAGTCTACTCACCCTTCCTCTCAGGGTGAGGGTCTCTCCCAGCCTTCCTTCTGGCCCTGCTCTCTTGGAAGAAAGAACAGCTCTTCTTAGAAGTCTTAGAAGTCCCCTTCCCTGTGATAGGCTAAAATTGGTGCCAAAACCTCTCAGGGAGTTCTGGGAGTTGTAGGCCTGGCCTCCTCCCACTGCTACTCAGGCTCCCTCAGACTGCTAGGCCTTTGCTTGCACAGCCCAGATCATGACACTAGCCTAGGCCAATAATTATTGCTCACTAACTGAGATGTTGGGTATTGCAAAATTTGTCTCAGTCCTTTTAGCCCTTGCATCTAAAAAATAAGAAATAAGTGTTTTCTGCAGCTCAAGATTCATGAATCAATGAGCTTCTGAGGTTATAAAAGGAAAGGAAAAGAAAGGAAAGATGTTGGGTATGTGTTCCAGAAAACATTTCTTCTGAACGTCTGTGTTTAGACTAGAACTATGAGAAGGGGAGAAATGTTTACTATTTGAAAATGGATGGTGTCAAACAGAATGCCATAATTAGGATGTCTATTAGTAATTTTCTATTTAAGAATATATGCAAGAACTTAACTGGAAACTATAACCAGCTTTGAGCACAACTATAAGAACTTCACTAAACAAAATATATTACTGGGTCTGTCTGTCATGTAGTAGAAAGCGTTCTCTACTAAGTCATATGTCCAGTGCTCATGGTCGAGCATTAGGGTTGCCAGACCCCCGGTCAGGGTGGGGATTCCCCCGATTTCTGGTGCTCCAGTTTGCCACCAGCCAGCCGGCTGGTGGAAGAAGACCCACCCCCAAACAGCCCCCTCCATCGCTGTTGACATGATGATGTCACCCAGAAGTGACGTCATCACACTGGGTGCATCGTGCTGCAATGCTCTAGCGCAGGGGTGTTTAACTCATTTGTTATGAGGACCGGATCTGACATGAGACCTTGTGTCATAAAATGGAATGCCAGATAGCAGATATATAAACTTTATGAAGGACAGAAAGACAAAGGTTTTTTTTTTAATTAAAATAAAAACATGTTTAAAACATTAGCACTCCTGCAATATTTGGTTTATTTAGCAGTGTCTTATAACTGACACCTCTTGCTCTGAATTATTGCATCAAAATGTCTGTGCTGTTGCAGTCTTGAGTATGCTGTTCAGGTGTGTATCTGTAAGCTGCAAACCTACGATGATGCAGTAGCAGCAGAACTGGAAGAAGAAGCAGAAGGCAGCCAGTTCCACTGTGGGCCTGATAGAAGTCCTCTGGGGGCCTGCATGTTTGACACCCCTGCATGTTTGACACCCCTGCTCTAGCGCTGTGATCCAGGCTCAGAACCAGGAGCCCCCCACCACAAGCCCGCTGAGACCTGGCAACCCTAGCAAGCATGGCCCCAGAATGGACCTGATTCTGCTGCCCCACTATATGCTGTTTATGCATGCTTTATAGGCAGGAGTAAAACAGGGCTATAGAAACAAGCTCCATTGAACCAATGGAGTGGTTAAGAGCAGCGGACTCTAATCTGGGAGAACTGCGTCTGATTCCCCTCTCCTCCACTTGCAGCTACTGGATGACCTTGGGCAAGCCATAGTTCTGACAAGAGCTGTCCTTGAAAAAGAGCAGTCCTCGAAAGAGCTCTCTCAGCCCCACCTGCCCCACAGGGTGTCTGTTGTGGGGAGGGGAAGGGAAAGGAGATTGTAAACTGCTCTGAGACTCTGAGTAAAGGGTGGGGTATAATCCGATCTCTTCTTCTTCTCTTCAAAGATACGTAAACCACTTTGAATCAGGTCTTTGGAGTAATAAGATATAAGAATTTTAAATAAATAAATAAAAGCACTGCCATCTCTACAATAAAACTAATGCTGCATTCTAATGTGAAAAGCTCCAGCTGTATTCTCCATTTAATCACTGCCTCTTTGACAATAAAATTATTCTGTTCGAAAGAGACATTGTGTGATGCTATTTTGTTTTGCCAGGTTGTGAAGATTTCATTAGTTTCGTTTTTGAATTTGGAAAAAGTTTATGTTCTATGCACCTTACCGAAGATGAGATTGCGTTATTTTCTGCGTTTGTTTTATTGTCTGCAGGTAAGACATAGGATGTTGAACCAACTTGTTCTAGTATTACATCGGGGAAAATAATTTAAATGCTGTTCTTTAATAGTGGATGATACTCTGTAAATGTGAAATAATCACTTTCATATTGTTGGCCCCTTTGCAACAACCTTACTTCCCCCCTTCCAAACCAATGCTTGATAGTTGTTTTAAAGGCCTAGGATGGCAACAGTCAGAATTCAGTAGTGAATTCCATAAACTCCAGTACTGAAAATGTTGCATCCGCTGATTAGTACAATCAAAATGGTACAAGACAGCTCCGAGAGCATGCGGAAGTGACTGAGGCGTGCTCTCTTTGTAATTCCAGTGCAGCACGTGAAGCAACAACACTCCCTTCAAATTTCCCACATAATTGGGAAAAAAACTTCACTTAGAACGATGGAGCCAAGATTACTGGTATAACAAAAGACAGCTTTGTAAGAATGGAAAATGTTAAGTAGCCCTACCCTAGAATATACTCTGCTAAAAAAAAAAAAGCAGTTAGGGACAACTAACTATGTTAGAGCAGCATCTCAAAACGTTGTTTCACCCATGCGTGTCTGTTTACAGCTTAATGAGTGGAATGCGTCAACTAAATTGTAGTGGGTTTGAGATAATGGCAGGTTGCATGGCCATAGCCGTTGTGACAGCAAAACATCAAGGAGTGGGGTATAAATATTTGAAATATTGGATAAATATTGGATAAACATATGGAGCAGAGGTCCATCAGTGGCTGTTAGCCACAAGGCATAGATAGGAACTCTCAGGCTGGGGCGAGTGATGCTCTGTCTTCTTGGTGCTTGGGGGAGGGGGGCACAGTGGGAGGGCTTCTAGTGCCCTGGCCCCACTGCTGGACCTCCTGATGGCCCCTGGTATTTTTGGCCACTGTGTGGCAGAGTGTTGGACTGGATGGGCCATTGGCCTGATCCAACATTGGCTTCTCTTATGTTCTTATGAAATTAATAAATGGAATATATTGGGCATTAGATCCGTAATGGATGCAGCAGATATTTAAGTCGTCGCTTGCAGCTGAAGTCACTAAGCAGTGAGTGTAGGTGAATTTACCCAAAGCAAGTAATGTGAACCACTAAGCCCTTGCAAGTGTTAGACCTTGGGGGTTGCCGAAACATAAACCACTGTGATGTCTTGGCTTGTGGGATCAGTGTATTAGAAAACTACAGGGGTGGGACAGCTGGATTCGAATCCAGTAGCACGTTAGTTTCCAACAAGATTTTCGGGGTATGAGCTTTTGAGAATCAAAGCTCCATTGGCTTTGACTCTTGAAAGATCATACACCGAAAATCTTGCTGGCCTCTAAGGTGCTTCTGTTCTTGAACCTACCCTCTGAAACTACAGGAATGAGAGTTTATCTTTTGGAAGGAAAGCTGTGTTAAGACCAATCCAACAATGAAAGTTGTGCATGGGTAACAACGTGTATAATTGCAGCCGAAAGCTTTATGGGACATGTTGCTTTTTCATGTGGTCAGGTCATCATGATGGGGGGGGGGGGGACAAACAAAACGGGAGCATGCCTGCTTGTGTTTTGTACAAATGGACCTCCACCCTGCTGGACAGGACTGCAGATGTGCTCAGGCCCGTAGCCAGGATTTTTTAAGTTGGGGGGGGGGATTTGAATTTCTTAGGGGGCACTGGCTAATCAAATTAATCTTGGGGGAGAAGGCTGTGACACCCTGGGTTGGATGGGGAGTCAGGGGACCTTGCCGGGGAGTCAGGGGGCCTAGCCCCGAGATGCCCCACTGTAGCTGCGGGCCTGGATGTGCTCATTTCCAAAGTGATACGTTGTTTAGTGCAGCCTTTTACATAGCCATTGGGAAGGGCTTTTTTTTTTGAGGAAGGTCCTTTTAGAACGGGTGAAGTGTTTGGACTGCTAGATTTAGCTGTATTTTCTATACCTAGGTATTCGGCACAAGTCATAATATCACCTGACTGAGCACAACTCCAAATGTAACAAGTAGGCTGTGGGGGGATAAATTAAATGCCTACTGTACATTAAGAGAACCAACACAGATGTTCTTCTCTCTACATTTTAGACCGTTCCTGGCTTCAGGAGAAGGTAAAAATAGAAAAGCTACAGCAGAAGATTCAGTTAGCTCTTCAGCATGTCTTGCAAAAGAATCACCGGGAAGATGGAATCTTAACAAAGGTAAGACCTATGTCTGCTTTGATATTCTGATGTTAATGCAACACTTTAGAAGGGAACTGTGCAAGTGCTGCCACCCCAGTGTTAAAAGGCTCCAAAATTTGTCTGTAATTGAATCCTTCTGACAGGAAGAATGTGGATATAAGAAATGGGAGTGCCCTTTGTTTCGCCCCTCCGACACCTCTGAATCACAAAGAAGGAGCGGATGTTGATGGATGCTATTAGAGGCCAGATACTGAATGAAACAGACAATCGCTGACCCAATTCTTACAGCCTTACCAGGGAAGAATAACTTTGTGGTTTAAATCCCCCCCCCCCAAAAAAAGGAGTAAAAGTAGTGAAAAGAATAAACGTTTCCTTTTATTATTTCTAAATTTAAAAAATTACTTTCTAAATAAAAGTACATACTGTTTGGCTGCTATAACATAAAAATGTTGATTTAAAACTGGAAGCAACCGCAAGATATACTATGAAAGTCTTAAATGTTTAATTTTGTGTAATTTCTATTTTAGAAATTTACTTAATAAATTACCGATTCTACTTAATGCGTGATTCCAAATCAGAAGTCTCTTTCAGAACCTGCAGCCATTGTAGTTTTTTGTGGACAGGAACTTGCTGGAGTTAACACTAGAAAATGCCGATTTCCCCCTCCAGCATCCTTTACTGTTTTAGCCTGCCCATTTCTCCTCTGTCATATAAATAACCCGCCCATCCCCAGCATAAAGTAGTAAATAATCTCAACCAGAAGAACTGGCTGATGGTAGATCAGTGTTCTCCATGAGTTGAAAGTAGAAGTCCAGAGTCTTTGCTTTACAGGTACAGTTTGGTGTAGTGGTTAAGTGCGCAGACTCTAATCTGGGAGAACCGGGTTTGATTCCTCACTCCTCCACTTGCACCTGCTGGATGACCTTGGGCAAGCCATAGTTCTGACAAGAGCTGTTCTTGAAAAAGAGCAGTTTCTGTCAGAGCTCTCTCAGCCCCACCTACCTCCCAGGGTGTCTGTTGTGGGGAGGGGAAGGGAAAGGAGTTTGTGAGCCGCTCTGAGACTCCTTTGGGTAGTGAAAGGCCAATCTCCTCCTCCTCTTCTCCTTCTTCCCTACATAACTAGAATACCCACTCAATCACAGATAACAGAGAGGTACTAAACATAAAGCGGGAGTTAAAGGTCATTCAGATTAATTAAAAGCAAGAATCCTATAGCTCCTTAAAAACAAACACATTTTCATTCCAGCACAAAAACAAATTTTTGCTAGAATAAAATATTATGTCTTCAGGATGTCCAAAAATTCCGTCTTGATTTAGTGGCCGCAGATTAACTTGGCTACTCCCATGAATTCTGTTACCAGATGGATCTGTGCATGACTCATGTGTTGAACCAGTGTTCCCTCTAAGCTGAGTTAGTGTGAGCTAGCTCAGTTTTTTAGCCTCTGGCTCACACCTTTTTGTCTTAGCTCAGGAAAGATGGCTCCAGAGCAAACTAATTTATGCAGTAGCCAAATCACTTGCTCACAACTTTAATGCCAGTAGATCACAAAGTAGGATTTTTGCTCACAGGACTCCACAGCTTAGAGGGAACACTGGTGTTGACTTGCCAGTCCCTGGCCCCTGGAATCGAGACATACTATATAAGTACATAAACTATTTTGCTATATGATGACTCTGCTTTAATACAGAAAATCAGCCTTTCCTGAATTTCTAAGAGGGCCGTAAATTTAGTTTTGAGAGAAATGTTTGCATTAAGTTGAGATTTAATTGAAAATCATGTAATTTTTAAAAGCTAAAACTGAACACATTTTGATATTAAAAAAAAACATTCTACCTGAGTCTTACAGGGAAACTTAGATGTCGAAACAATTACTATGGCTTTGTGTCAAGCCCCCCCCCCCCCTGCCCATGTGGCTAGGCAAATCCATACACACTACTAGCCACAGCTCCCATTTACTGTCCAACAATCCAGGGAACACCAGGCCTGAAGAAAAACCTTAGTGTTTTTTTTAATGATAATTTGGAGGTAACACTTCCTGTCCTCCAGTTAATGGCAATGGTGTGCACAGCCAACACTAGAAAAGCAACGTTTGGGCAGCGTTGTGAGTTGCCGCAGAATCCCAGGTTGGTACATAACAACACCACAGCCAGCAGCAGAAGTAGCCTTTGGTGACCAGGAGAGGGAGGGAGGAGTCAGAGGTGGAGGTGGTGAAGGCGACTTTCTCAGCCCCCACAAGTCCTTATGGGCCCCCCCTCTCATTATTTCTAGCAACAAAATTAAAGACATAAGGTCATCTATGTAAACCTAATTGTTTTTGCTTTTCTTTTATTGTCTTTTTTTGATACAGCTAATATGCAAAGTGTCTACGTTACGAGCACTGTGCGGGCGACATACAGAAAAGCTCATGGCATTTAGAGCAATATATCCAGACATTGTGCGTCTTCATTTTCCTCCACTGTACAAGGAGTTGTTCACTTCAGAATTTGAGCCAGCGATGCAAATTGATGGGTAAACATATCACCTAAGCACTTCTAGAATGTCTGAAGTACAAACGTTAACAAGGAGGAAAAAAAAACAAAAAAAAGATAAATGAAAACAAGACACTTTATCTGGCCCTGCTTAGACCTAGGGAGCCAACTCACTGCACATCTTCTGGCGATCGGGGTCAGGCAAGAAATTTTTAAAAAAAAGGATGGGAAAAATGAAACAAAAGTTGAACTTGTTTTTCTCACGCATATGATTTCCATTACGCCTACCGATACGGGCCCTTTTTCTGTCTCAACTTCTCAGTCTCTGACCTCTGTTTACACAGAATGAGGGTACTAAAAATCAGGAGGTTTCCTTTTCCTTGTAACCCACTCTGCCCGCAGACTTTCAATAGAACAACGTTTTGTTTGGTTAAGAACGGTTTTGTCTCCAGCTAGAAACCAGCGACTGGTGTGCATTGCAGAGGCTTCAGCATCAGTTTTGCACAGCTTGCTCATTGTTTCATGAAGGACGATTTCTTTTCACCCGGCTGTCGACTTGCCGGTAGGCAGAACGGCATGAAAAGGGTCCATAAGCAATAGCAACAATAGCATTTATAATCTATTACAGGGTAAATGGGCATGAAGTCTATATATAGCAAAAGAGAATATTGTTTATATATTGTTTTAATTAATATAAAAATGTAGTTACTGGTATAGCTTTTATTGTTGAATTGATAAGGCACTTTCATTTTGCACTTTTTTTTTTCCTTTTTAAATTATATATGCTAGCGTGTTCACTGTCGTGCTGCATGTGCACCAGAAATTCAAGTTTAACTGAGGGAGGTTTGGAAGGTATTGGGACACTGCAAGGTTGTTTTCTGCTGCTGTTTTCCACATTTACTTTTTAAAGAGAGGCTGGTCATATCATGAAACACCTTCAGTGGTTTTTTGTGTAATTGGGCAGGGAGGGACGGGGGACAGGTTTCTAAACTAAAACTTGTAGTTTTACCTTGTATTTTAAAGAAAACGTGTTGTATAAACCGGGAAAAAAATCCCTGTTACTGTTAAACACGATGCTGACATAGGGATGAAGAAATCTGTATTTAATCACTTAAAAAAAAACCAAGCTGATTTTCATCAGCATCTTTTTAAAATGAGCCCGCTTTTGGGGAGGGGGGGGGAGTGAGTAAATATGGAGTCAGAGAACCAAATTTTAGACACCTGCGTTTTGGAAATATTGGTCCTAATACTTTTGTTTACATTTAAAGTATTTGTGAGTGAGTGAGTGAGTGGGTATGTGTGTCTGTTTGTGTCCATCCGTCATATGTTAAGACAGATAGGGTACAATCCCCAGGGAAGCTCTCTAGTGCAAACCCCCCCACTCCACCCAGAAATTCCACGCAAAAATATGGTATTGCTTCCCAAAAGGGCTGTGTCCATGGGCTTCAATCCAGTGCATGGTTATGAGTGCCAAACAGTGCAATCCTATACGGAGTTCACTGACGTCTCAGCCCATTGAAATCCATGGGTTTAGACTGGAATAATTGTACTAAATTGCACTGTAAATCCCTTTAGTATTTAAGCCTGGGTAACTCTGCAGATCTATCTCACAGCTATATATTTTGTATAGTAAAGAGTGGGCTTACACCTGGCTACCGACTCAGTACAGCAAACAATGCAATTTAAGTCCATTTGAAGTCAAAGAAACCTGCAAAAAAAATCTACAGCTCTGAATGCTTCACTTTGACCACATAATACATAGCTACAGACGGCTGTGTAGAGACAGGGGTTGATTATGTGAATGATGGCTAATGAAATCAAACTATAGAATCCTATTCAGACGAGGAAATTGACTGAAAAACTGAGTTTGGGAATGGTCCAAAGATGCGGCCAATTTTTCCCTTGAACCTACTATTATATCCACAAAGAATAACAAAGGACTACTTTGTATGGCCAATATCAGTGCTACTGCGAAGGGGCACAACGACATTATTTGATTTGATTTTCATCATACCGACAAAACCCATATTTTGCTGGTGTGGTTAAAAAGGGCTGTGCTGGGTTAGCATCATTTTACACAAGTGGCTTTCTACACTTAAGTATGCAGCTTGCTTACAACATAAGAGGCACTCCTGCTGGATCAGAGCAGTAATAAATTTAGTCCAGCATCCGATGTCACAAAGTGGGCAGTCAGTTGCCCTGGAGGGCCAACAGACAGGGCACAGAGGTCATGGCCTTCCTCTCTGATACTGCCTCTTAGGTTTACCAGCTCTGAATGATGAGGTGCTCTTTAGCCTTCTTGGACCTATCTTGGACCTATCTTCCATGAATCAGTCCACTTTTAAAGCTGTCCATGCTGGTGGCCATCCCTATATTACCAACTTACATGTGTATGTTTAACTTGCTGTCAAGTCACACTTTGGCCACCCCAGCAAGGGGCTTTCAAGGCAAGTGAGAAGCAGAGGTGGTTGGCCATTACCTTCCTCTGCAGAGCCTTCCTTGGAGGTCTCCCTTCCAAGTTCTGACCCTACTTAGCATTCAAATTATGGCGACCCCAACAAGGGGCTTCCAAGGCAAATGAGAAGCAGAGGTGGTTGGCCATTGTCTTTCTCTGCAGAGTCTACCTTGGAGGTCTCTCATCCAAATTCTAACCAGGGCTGACCCTGCTTAGCTTCCAAGATCTGACAAGATCGGGCTGTACCATAACGCCTCCCCTCCCCTACCAACTTACAAACCTAGCCTTTGGATGTTTACAGCAACCATGTAAGGTAGATCAGCATTATAATCCCCATGTTGCAGGGGTTAGGGTTAGGGGAATGGAGGCAGAGAAAAGATGACCCCCGAGGTCAAGTTTGTGGCAGACGGCCACTTTTGAACAGGATTCTTAGATCATCCTACAATTACGCGAGTGGTACAGAACTTTCCAAGATGGCAATGGCTGAACCAGACATATATTAGCATTGTTTCAAGCACGTTTCTAATATAATTAAATTGTACAAATTAAATTTAAGAAATTGTCCGGTGAATAGGAGAGAAAGCAGAATTAAGGTCATATATGTTTACTGGGGCTGTTCAGTGTTATCCTTTTTTAATTTTTAATGTCTACAGTATTTAATGTTACGCTGAAAGTGCAGCTTGTTCCTTGGAGTAATGTTTCACTCACCCCTGAGGCGCCTCTAAAAAAAAAAATCCATAAGAACTAAAATATGTCAGAACCAGAGGATCAGCAGTATTCCTTATCTTAGGTATAGTTTGGAACCGTCTGTAATACCTGAAGATGCTGACTATCCTGAATGAGACACACTTATTTAAATGAGAAGTAAAGCACGGGATTTTTTAATTCAGATTTTTATCAGATTTGGGTTAGCATTGTACCCTGGCAAACTACAGATAATAACTTCTGCTATTATTTAATCAATTAGTGTTTGATGGCATGTCAAGAACCTCTGATAATTCAGAAGCAACTCCAATTAATACCTTTGATGATCAAAATGCATCAAAGACTGAAATGATTAGAAGGGTTACCTCCAGGTAACTGGTAATATAAGCAAGCTTTTCACGATACACCTAAGTTATTCAAATGAGCCTTTTTAGAGTGGGTTTTGTATTATAGCAACCTTCATCATCCTGACTATTTGGATTTGAAACACGCATATAGCTGTGCTGTGTTTCTTCATGCCTAATAGTGTCTTAAGTGTTTCCAGCAAAAGACAAAGCTGTCTAGACACAGCTTAAGAAGGCTCATAAAACAAATCTGTAAAATATTTTTAATCATGTCGGATTTTACCGTTGCCCAGGGTTTTATTTTTGAACAGCGAATGTTCTCTGGAAAGGACAGAAAAACTGCTGTCACGTCATGTCACAGCCGATTTATGGCAACCCCAGCAAGGAGCTTTCAAGGCAAGGGAGAAGCAGAGGTGCTTTGCCATGGCCTTCCTCCACAGAGCCTTCCTTGGTGGTCTCCCATCCAAGTACTGACCCTGCTTAGCTTCAGGGACCTGACAAGATCGGGCTATACCATGAGCCACCTTTCCTCCCTGCATACTTCAATACAAAATGGTAATCCATATGTTTGAAGCGATCTGGAATTGTTGTTAAGCTGCAGGAGGAGAGTGTGCCTTCCTCAGCATCTGTATGTCTTGAGCCTCATAGTCTGACCATGATTTGTACGACCACATAGCCTCATAGAGGAACTCCTGGCCAAAAGTTAGTCAGCAGCACATGTAGGGGATCACAAACTGCTACAAGCCAATTTAATATCTAGGAACGGGGAGAAGAAAAGACATGAGACATAAAATCAACACCCCACAGTTCCACAAACATGGGGGAGCGCAGTCAGGGAGCCCTGATGCATGCCTTGGCTTCTGTGCCGACAGGGATCGCTCATCCATTACTTTTTATAAGCATCTTTTCTTGCCTGCAGTGAAGAATCCCCGGAAAAACATGGGAGCATTTCTTCGTAGAAAACTGGGGCGAGTCAGATGGAATTACACCTAATGAATGAGATTCTGGAAGGGTCCCACAGTAGTCAGGAGACCCTACAATCATTCTTCCCCTGCAGTATGAACGATGGCCCAGCCATCCAGAGCAGTTTTAAGGAGTGGAGCTCTTTTGAACTGTATAAGCAGTAGCCAATCACCTTTCCCCAAACATTTTGTTTACTTTATTGGAGTAACTGGTGCTAAGTGTCGGTTCCACTCTTTTCTGCGTAAAACCCAGGCCACTTAAGCAAGAGTTTTCTGAATGTGACCAGCCTCAAGTGCTTAATGCCGTTAAAGTTCAGCTGAAACTTAACTTCAGTGTCTACCAGTCAGTGCTTACTAAAGACAAAAAGGATGAAACAAAACAGTATTTGTGCCCATAAATGGGACAATTGCGTTATGTAGTTTGGGATTCTCACTCCTGGCCTCTTATTCCTTGGAAATGTTTTGTGGCCATCTAAATATGCTCCGTTACTAACTTTCTCTTCGTTTTCTGGAAATGCCACTTCACAATTATGTACGCAAAAGTGAAAGACAGGAGGAACGCTGTCCTGAAGCCAAGCACTTTAGTTAGGCGCATATTAAATACGTGAAAATAATGAGGACTGCTAGCTGCTTATAAGTTTTTCAGACGTTGGTGCATAAGCTAGCATATGGATGTTTCTTCATCTCATTTAACAGATTATGGCCAGGATATTTTTGTGGGGAGGGAGGGGGAAACTAAGGTAGAGTGGTGGGAAATGCATAGTGAAAACTGCTGCTGCTACCTCTTGAAGAGAGTGTATGCATAAGAACTGTGCATCTGAACTGGTACTGTGCATCTGAACAGGGACAAAAGCTTGACAAAGAACTGAGAATAAAATCCAAAGATGGCTGGTGTCATATATTCAGCCCTAAAAGCTGCAAGCTCCAAGGTAAATTAAAATGTATACAGTGTAATGGTACTTTTAATGTCTTTCTGGGTTCAGGTCTACTTGTACCTTGTACTGGAGTTATTTACAATAACTACAGATGTAGGAGTAACTCTAGAAAGTTGTTAGTGAAAGCTGTCTTTGGTTTTCATCATTCCTCCTCCTTGGACTATGTTGATGTATTTTAGCGTGTCTAGCATTTTACTGTGGTTTTTAAATTAGGAAACTGCACGAGGCGGG